AGCAGGAACTGCAACGTTTTTCCCATCTCAATCCATCACGTTTTGCCCCAGAGACTTCTCAGTTTTTAACTGCCTTTAGCCTCTGCTTCACCTGCTGAGGGTGCAGTGGGAGTCGGGCAGGCACGGGGGGAAGGACAGTTCGTAGGAGAGCTTCGTGCCTCCACGAGGGAGGCAATCATCAGTTCTTCCCGGGGTCTCATCACAGTTTGAATCAGGTCCGGGAGCACGAGGGGGCTCGGGGCGGCATCCCCATCATGCCTCACCAGCAGAGGCTTCCTTCCCACAGAGCACAGAAGGCTGTTCTAAGTGAAATGGGTCCGATCAGCGCTCAATCCATTCCCCACTGCGCGTCAGCGCTAGCTGGAGCCGCCAAGGCGTTCTTGTGTCCTTGCACGGGAAGGTGTCGATACCGCGTGCGGACTAAGCAAAGTTCCCCTCTGTGGCACAGCTGCTCTGTTACCTGTCTTTGGTAATTTGACACAAGCGGCAGATATCCACAACTGCAAGACAGGTGTCGTCATGTCTAAGAAGAGTCCACCCAGCATCAAGGTCCACTCTCACCTTCCTCAGCCCCTTGGGCGGCCCACATCTTAGGGAAGAGCAGAGAGACAAGGCCACCTTGCTCCATCCAGAGGTCCTTCTCTTCAGGTTAGGAATCACTCACAGGTTCACGTCCAGGGCCACCAAGTGTACTAAAACAAAGGACCGAGCCCCTTGGAGGCCACGTAGCACAATGTTTGGGTCCTTAGTAGAAACAAGAAAGCCACTGAGAAGTCCAAAAAGGGGCTTTGCAAGAACAGACAGCTTTGGGGGAGAGGGCCATAGTACAGGGCAGGTGACCTCTCAGACACGTGGAGGGAAAGGACATAGATGGGTGTCACTCATGGATGTGCCTCTGCCCCAGGTGAAAGTGACGTCCTGCACTTCACCTCCACCACCACGTGGAAGAACCGCATCATCATCACCTGGCACCGGTACCGGCCCCCTGACTACAGGGACCTCATCAGCTTCACCGTCTACTACAAGGAAGCGTGAGTGTCTGTGCTTGGTGACGTGTTGGCAGGGCTTCCTCCTCGCCACCCTCCTGTCAGTCATGTGACATCCATCACCACCAGTGACAGCTACAAACAAAAAAGTGTTAGCTTGAGGCCTTTCATTCTTCAGTGGGTGATTAGAGGTGCTTGAATAAAATAAGTCCAAAGGGGAAAACCTGTTTTGTGGAGAATTAGGTCAGTCCAAACATTCATGAACCGGGATGGAGGGTCTGGTTGCAATATCATTGCAGCCTTGGTCCCCCTAATCCGTAGTCTGGGAACACCCCTCAGGATGCTCGGCTCCCCTTGAGGCGACCTCCAGGTGGGTCCATCATCTATTCTGGTCACTCTATCTGTGGCCCCTCCCAAGGTGTGGCCTTCTGCTCTAGGTCATAAGCCCTCCAAACAAGGGACGGAGAATGGAGAAAGACTGACCTTCATGTCTCAAACCTTTCAGCATTTCTCCCAAAATCTACTGGGGGCTTTTCTTGTGCCTTCAGAGGACGTTTGCCTGCCTGGGCAGCCAGGACATCCCTCCAGATGGCAGCTCTTCTTGGTCTCCCCCTTCCTTCCTGTGCCTCCTGTATCCAGGTGGTTCCGCCAGGCCTCTTAGTCACCCTCCTCACCCAGGTCCCACCTTGATGCCATAGGGCCCCTTCCCAGGTGCTTGGCTTCCCCGGAGCTGGAACCAGAGCCACCAGTGGCAGCATCTGGTACCCTTTGCCCCTGCTGGAGCCGGGGCCCTGGGAGTGCCCTTACCATGAGAAAAGCAGGATGCGGGATTATCAGGCATTCACTGACCCTGCACGGGGGAGTCACTCATCTTCCATCACAGCGACAGGGAGGGGTATGTGAATGTCTGTTTCAGAAGCCAGTGTCTATCTGGCCCTTTCATCTGAGAGGCGTGGAATCCCTGCCCAACTCCACATCTGTGCAGAATCATCATCCTCTTTAACAGTCTACCAGTGCTCTGACAGTGACGTTAGTGTCTGAGATAACCTGGAAACTAAATATCTGAATGTTATCAGATTCTTAAGCAATCAGAATTGTTTGTGAGCATATTAGATTTTAGAAGCTGCATTTGAGAAGTTGTTTTTCTGTAGCAAAGGCATTTTTCTCCAGAAGTTATTCTTTATCAATAATGATGTTTGCATTAAACGACTACGCTTGTTTTTTCTTAGTGGTGAAAAAATGGGGAAGAGAGGGAAAG